CTTGCTAATCGCAACTTTGAAAGAGTAAATTGAAGATAATCTGTCAACAATGATAACAGGTCAAAGAAGATTGAAAAGCTTTTCTCCTTCCATCATGCGTTGTTTTAATCTTTCTTAATTTTCTTCTACAGCATTTTTTTGTCGTAGCACGTGGTTTACTGCATTGTCAGATAAATTACTGAATACAAATTTACCGCTAGTGCTAATACAGCCAGGAAAACTGTAAGTTTCTTACATAGCAAAGTTCCCGAAAAAAACTTCAGGGTTATTGCTAATCGTAAAGTTTCCGAAACAAGCATTGCTGCTAATCCTATTTTAAATTTGAAAAGCGTATGAAATTAAACTTGAAAAGTTGAGTAAAGCCGAGTTAAATATTGAGAAAAGAATGAAATATAATAATGTCCTAAATGAAAACTATCTGTTTCTCATAAATTGTTTCAATCAAACTTCTGAAAGTCATTAACAAATGAAAGGTGTTAGCTTCCAGTTATTAGTTCTCGAAGGAAAGTATGAAAGGTAATGAATATTTAAACACTAAACTGTAAAAATGATCATCACTGCTTATCCAGATAGCTCTAAGTAAATTCCGGAATTAACTTGAAAAATAGGAAATAATACGAATCAAGAAAGCATCGAAAAATTCCAAAACTATCCGATTTAAGAAAAAACTACCTTAAAATTTTGGAATTCAAATTAAAATAAGAAAGATCGATTAAAATCTAAAACCGATTTTACAACAAAAAGGATTAAATGATCCGTTTTAGAAACTGCGGTAAATACCTCTTTTTGAAATATTATCGGATTACTTTTTTATAGTTATTTACTTTTTCTTTCAAAAAAGGTCTCTACATCCCAGTGGACATAAATATTTGGTCGTCGAAAATTAAAAGTGAAACAAAAATATGATTTGCAGAATAATGAAAAAAAGGTCATATTTTCCAAAGTTAATTATTTTCAATTTTCAAGACTTGGATGCCTTACAAATGCTTTCTTACAACATTTCCTTCCTTAATACAGTAGTGTTTAGTTCGACAGTTCAATGAGGCTAGGCCAAGAATAAAGAAGGCCTCAATATTTCCTCCAAAACATCCTCAAGCTGAAGTCCAAGATATTTCAGAAGTCTATTTCATCAATAATCAAAATAAAGCGTAAAATTTAGTATTTCTTTTTTAAATATTAAATTTGAGGATGAAAACTTAATGTCATCTATGTATTTCACAATAATGTCCCATACTCAGCCCTAACAGACTCCACAAAATGTAAGGGATATGCAATATATGATAATTCATTTAAGTGTCACATTTTGATAAAATTGACGAAATACTGAGGTGATGTTTTGCAAGATGTAACAGAATAAGAATGATGATTTCTAGTTGAAATGGGAATTGTTCAGAACTTATGGTCAAGGTTAGTGGTAATGGGACAGATGTGACCATTCTTCGGGCGCAAAAGGACAAATTGCATAGCGTGGACAGGGCAGAATAGTCGTTGAATGGTGAAAGAAGTGAGAATTAAAAGTTTTCTATTGAATTTCTTCAAATTGATCTTCAAATAACTTCAAAACTTTTGTAAGCATCTTTTAAACAGCTTTTATGATACCGTAATCCGTTCTTAATAAATGTTGAGAAATTTGTAGTTATAATTAAAGGTTATAAGTAAGTGGTCGATTATATCATAACATTTGCATTTTAAAGCCTTATGACTCGAATTAGGTTGATAAGCGAGATAGTACATAGAAATAGGACATTTAAGATATCCATTCCTTTAGTACTTGACCTTATCGCTCGCTATATTCGATTTCTTTTTTGAATTTCTATTGCTTTCTCTGACTTTAAGTTGGTCAATCTAACTGGTCAGTTCAAGGATGTGTGGTATCTATTGAGCTGACTTAGACTTTCCCAATTCCTGTACATCCTCCCTTGGCAATATTCCAAAAGAGCATTTATTGCACATCCATCATTTCAATTTTTATAAAAGTTTGTCAAATTCAATTCTATTAATACATTCTAAAAGTCATTATGATATTAAGGATAATGCGCAACTGTTTTTTCAATTATAGACCTTCCAGTTTTATCAGTAAAATCCTTCTCTGACAAATGTGAAGAATTCAAGACTCCGATGGATATATTTTTTCAAGTTTGAAGTTGATAAATTTCAAAAAATTCGCATATCTAAAAGAATTTTGTTATTTCCAAAGAAATTAGAAATAAAAAATTATATGAATTTGAGAACCGAAAATTTTCACAAAAAATATTATAATCACATGAAAGAAGATGGCAAAAGGGAATTTGTGATCCATAAAGCAAGCCTGAAGATCAACAATTTCGCAATCGGTAATTCTGAACGTGAACCAATTTGGTTGCATTCCATCAAGTCCAGATTCCATATGCAATATCGCATGCCGCATGAATTTATCGGACTCAAAATTCTCCCAATTAGCAACATTTTCCGATTACTGGAAGCCATTGTCATCAGTCACGAAGGTGGACAATTCCTTTATTGACCAACTCATTTCTATGAATTAATTCATTCAATTACTTTCAATCAATTAAACATTTCTTAAACATAAAACTATTTACAAATTTGAAATGATTTCTTTATTATACGTCATATATTTTGAAGTCATTACTGAAGTATTGCTTGAAACTGTCACCCCAATACGGTTAAACAAATGATTACTTTGTCTTAATGGGTATATATTATTAATGATTGAACGACAGCTGTGTAAATAAATTGCTGTGCGTTTATAAGTGTCAGAGATTTTTTTGTAAATTCTTTTCATTGCTTTCTAAATGTTTCCCTACTTTGTGTTGGAAGAATGACCGTATTTTGTAGTAAAACATTGTGAAATGCCTCCACAGTGTCACCATCGGTGGAGACTCAAAAAGGTGACGATCGGTTGCAGTATGAAATCAATATGCGAAATATATTTCTAATATTCTTCCATCCTTTCATTCAAGCATAACTGTTTGTAATCTACCCATTCATTCACCAAATGCAAAATTAACTGAAGTAACTGATAAGCATTTTGAGTCCAGTGTATGATGGCCAAATCAATCTTTGTTTTTACCACTCTTCCCATCAGCAGCTATTAGCAAAAATCCAACAGGATAAATTAATTCAATTCTCTTTCTCACAAAAAAACTAATCCTCAGGAAAGAATTCAATTTAAATACAAGTTGTGCATGAAAGAGGAAGAACGTGAATAGTTGAGAGAAGTCTTCGTTAAGGAAGTTTGAATGTTGTCGGGGATGATATTGAGAATGGAAATTTTCAGTAGATCTGTGTTATATAACGATGTGTGGAGGTGTGCGTCTGTCTGTCCATGTGTCACCATTTTGTCACCATAGGTCCACGGGATAATGGTTCAGTCCTGGGAAAGGAACTACAAGAATAACAGAAAAAGTATAGGAAAGCTTTTTTAACAAAGAATTTGAGAGATGAAAAAAATTAATTTTGATTGAAAAAGAAATGAAAATTTGGAAAATATAAGCCAAAAAAAAAGGGTTTCGAAAACGAGCTGAACTAATCTTAGCTGATTACTTGAATTTTCTGAAGACTTTTGTTTACTGAAGTTTCAGTTTAAACTATTTAAGCTAAATCTGACCAGTCTGAGCTGAATAAATCTAAATTATTTTCTAATTTAATTATTCTCCAAATCAATTTTTCATTCGATGATTCCGAAATCCATTAATTGTGTTTACTACTCTTGTAGCTCTTATTGATTAAAAAAAGAAAAAAAAACCAGCTATGCAACGAATGCAATTTGCAATTTGTATCCTAACTACTCCTTATGAGATTCATGATTTAGTCAAATCAGATTGGAAGTTAGCATCCGATACATACATTGGATATGCTTTTTCTATTGTAATATTAGCATAGCATAACATCTATTTAATGATTAATGACGAAGATTCTGAAAAATCGGAAAATGAGATGAATAGTCATTGGTTGAATAGTGAAGCAGTGAGCTGGACTGATGAAACACGTAATAGTTTTGATATGATGAAGGATACAAGATCGATTGTTCCCTCATCTTAATTTGTGATCCCGCGTGAATAGAAACAGAATCTCCCACTCTCGCTCCCGACCAACAAATAAAAATTTGAAAATAAACAAAATCAAATATCTTAAACACTTTTTCGGTTTTTTTGTTACAGTTATAAATATGACAAATACAATTCTATTGGGTCATTGCTATCCGACTTCCTCAATGGTCTTTGGCTATGAATTGTGCTTATAATTTTTGAGATGATCTGTTACTCTTGACCATTTCCATACCATTCTTTTTCATTTTTCTCAGAAATGCAACATATTTGATAATACTAATACTGCTCAGATAGCACAATATAAAATAAAAGGACAAATAGTGTGATATCATGCGAGTTTAATGAAGCATTAAAATATATTTCAATGTTTTTTTTTCTCCGTAATTAAATTTTTAGTTTATTGGCAACTTAATTAAATTAAGGCTTGACTCTTTAGATTTGTTATGCGTAAATGAGCTCTTGAATAAGTAATAAATTATTTACTTTGTGTAAACAATAATAGCAATCATTGTGGCATAATATAAACAAATACATTCAATTTCCATTCAACAAATAATTCGAAAAAAAAATTGTTGATTTCAGTTTTTTTTATTACCTCACTCACCGAGACTAATCTAGATAAAATTTTAATTCCGAGTGTTTTTATTAGTTTATAAACTTCCATTAATCAAAAATTTTCATGCATTTCTCCTGAAGTTGGCCTAAAATTCATTTGAATTTAAATAAATTATAGAAAAAAATTAATCTAACACAAATTCCACACATTGCCATTTTGACTTGCGAACATTTTGCGTTCACTTTTTAACAAATGAAATACCAAAACAAGTAACCCAAAATTTGCGTTAAATTTAGAAATTATAAATGAACATCATTATAATCTAATGACTGCAAAGGATAGATGGTTATGAACTTTGAAATGTATTAAACAATAGAACTTTTTGATTTAATTAATAAGTATATACACTAATTTCAATGTCCTTTTTTTCTACACTCTTGCTTTGCTATACTAAATTGGATCAGACTGTATTTTATTTCTTAGCTACCGATGAAAATGCTGCAATGACAAATCTTTTCAGAAAAATTGACATAATTTGATTAAATAAGAAATGTGGAAATGCCTGTCGTTGTTGTTGTTGGATTAGCAATGCAAACTTATACTTTAGCTTCGATTAAGCTAACAGATAGCTTTTCCCACTTTATTCCATTTATTTAATAGCAAGCCTTTATAATTATTGCAAAATCTAAGACGCATCATTCAGAATGATTGAAAATTGAGTTAATAAATTGATATTTGATTATTACTTATTTTGCACAAATGAGATTTGAAACATATGATTAGCATGACTATTTTAGGAATTTAATAGTGCGAGTTAAGAAAAGAAACTGTGCTGTATAAAAAAGGAAGAAAAATCAAAAATATTGTCATTGGATGGATAAAATAGACAAATATATTATCAGAGTTTGAATGCATCCAAATATAAGTGACAATATCCAATTGATAAGTGCTGAAAATGAAAATCTTCTAAGTGAATTAAGGACATTCTTATTTCAACTTAGTAATGTAATGTGTTTGAAAATTTTGTCGGAACCTTTGTGAAAAACGGTACTTTTATTTGTTAATTATGATGATTAGAATTATAAAAATTTGTCATTTCTGAAATAGCAAGAAAAAATGCAATTATCTGATTCGTAATACGTTATCTCAGTCCGGGAATGATTATTTCAATTATAGTTGAAATTGATTAAGAATAGTAGCGAATAATAGTGATAACAATTGATAGTGTTAAGGTTCAATTCAAACTGTAAAATGGAAACATAGAACGTCAATCTTTGTATTTGAATCTGTTTATTTGAGGTGAGGTGAAATAAGCAATGGCAAAAGTAATAGTAGTAGAGAGTTTTAATTCAAAAAGTGATGCATTTACAGAAATATAAGTGAATCACTTTGACTGTTTGTATGCTTATAAATAATAAAACTTTGTTCCACCCTTTGCTTATATCTCGAATGATAGTGTAATGACGTGGATCATTTGTTCTATTTATGTATCGACCGGTTCAAGTTAGCAGCTTCTATGGAGCTTTATCTTGTCAATGTGTACACTACCGCCCCTAAATGTTTTCGTTTTCCACCACAGAAGATCTGAATCTGATATTATGAGATTCGTTTCCATTTGAAAGAAATGAATTTAAAAACAATTACTAATTGCATCATTGATAGGAAATCAAAATATGTTACAGGAATATCCAATAATAACTGATATGATTAGAAGTAATCTTATCAGCGCACAGATGTGATATCAAATGGCTATTTTTGGTGCATAATTCATAAACATTTTGTTGTTAAGGTTAGTAACATAAGCAAGTTTAAAAAATGTGCAGAATGTTGCAATAAAAAAAAAAAACTGATTGTAATGTTTCAGAGGAAAGTCGTATTATCACAATATATTACTAGGTAATCAAACATAGGAATTTTGAAATTCCAATTTTCGTTTAAGAAGAAGTAGTGAACTATGGTTGTAAAACCAGCAATAAAGTTTCCTGAAGTTCAGAATCGGATCGTTTGTAAGGTGCTGGATCAGGTTCATATACCATGTACAACAACAAACTCCGAAAATTTGGGCACAGAATTGATTGTTCTTTAGGGTACAGCATTGATGATATGTCATTCTTGCTATTTTATAGTAAGAGATACATTCCAATAGTTCCTCGTACCTGTGTCGAGTTATAGTGGATTGTGAATTTTAATATATTGCTGAAACAGAAGTAATAGAAGTAGGTGTGAAAAGCATTCATGTCACATCTTGAAACTGCAATATAATTGTTGAATTAATTAACATCATTTAAGGGAACCATATTGCATTTCAAAAGAGTCCTACAGTAGGATAACAAATTCAGAATAAGCGCGATTTTGTTAATGATTCGATACTAAGAAATGAAAGATGAAAATAGTGGAACGTGGAAAGGCTTAGGTAATAAAAATTCCTGAGAATATTGTTGTAAAAACTTTCTTGTTTTAACCTCACAAAGAAGTCAATCTGGGAAAAGCTCATTTGTTGTCCTACTGTAGTTGTTGTAAACAACTATTTCTTTTTTTTTCGATATTTCTTTTTTCATAAAGGAAGAGTACAATATTTTATGCAAACTTTTTATTTTTTCAATGATCGTATGAAAAAGAAATATCAAAAGCTTACGGTAGCATTCGTGTCATCACGTCGGTGAGTGTCGTTGGATTTTTGTGGTTCATCGCTTCCAACAAGTACAGCTGTCATCAACAGCATTATTATAATTCTGGAATTAAATACCCTTTTTTCTATATCTTACTTCATATACCTGACTGGCATAGATGGAGCACTTACTGAGAGATTTTATGGTTCAAATTTTTTTTACTTTTCAACTTTCCATGTTTTCCTTTTGCCACAACGGGTTAATTAAGAAGGAAAATGAAGAATGATCAGATGAGGCAACTGGAAACCTATAAACTAGAATTGTATTTTTTTTTCACAGTGAAAAATGGTCTCTGTAATGTACAGATTTCTCAACTACAAGAATTATAAATTTTAAGTAATGACCGATACTCACTGAATGTCACTGACCAATAGTCGTCAAAAACGAAATAAAACGGAAATCAGTAAATTGCGATTAAAGATTAGCATGATCGATAAATTATTCTATTAAAATTAATTTTTGCTTATTTAATCGAATTACTGCACTTTAGGTAACGGTTGGCTTGTTGAAGCAGTCAATATATCGTCTGCTAACTGGACAAGGAGAATGACCAATCACTAATAGGTTAATTCTCATGAGAGCAGAATAATACTCAACATTTTACAGCAAAGAATACCATTTTAAGTTTTTTTTACTTTTTTTTTGTCAAAATATCATAACGTTATTGTTAAATTATTTGATAATTGATTGTTTAATTGGAGATACGTGCTGATAGTGATATTCAAACAGATTTATGCAAAAGAAAAGAGAAACTTACGCAGATAAAGCGATCAGAAACGGTTGATTAAAACCAAAAGCCGAAAATGAATTACCCATGTGCAAGGAAGGGTATGTATAAGAAACAAAAGGTGAGTGACAGTTCAAAATGACATTGATTACTATGTCAACGAATGGATTTCATAAATAGACTAGTAGAGAAACATGTATTGCAAAGAATATACACACTCAGATAGACTCTAAATTCTATCTTAAACGCTCCTCCCTTGCAGCAACTAGACAAGCATGCAAACTGCGCGCTAAATGATAGAATTGATTCTTTTTCATCGGTCTTTTTTTCCACTCAACATGGTGTGTTTATTCGATGACGTGACATATGCAAGGAGAAATTGCAGGCACATTCTTTCATCTTTCCACTTCAAATCAACTTATACATTCTTGCCAAGTTTTTAAGATTCCAATTCCTTTTTACGCATTCTAGGCTTATTTTCGACTTCAAATGATTGTTCGTTTTCCTTCTGATTAACATCAATGTCACATCATATCTAACATAAATTAGCGAATTGATCAGTTTGAAGTCTGAAAGTGATAAAATTATTAGTGAGACATTATCAGTTTAACTATTATACAAGTTTTTTCCATGGGCTAATATAATATCATTTAAGGAAATACAGTTTTAGATCAGTTAATTTGTTCACTTCATAATTAATAAGCATTTAGATTAGCTGATATGATAAATAAATATCTTTACTTTTTATTCATTCACTAAGAGGACAATGCATCGATGCTTATCATCAATCCGAACAAGTCTAACTAGTGGATGATAATGGACTAGCAGAACTCATAATCAGCTTACTCTACGATTAATGCTTAGCAAATGAAGCGAGCAGTCTTATCATTCTTTAGAAAATTTAATTCTTCAATGTCAGTTTTTTCTTTTTGTTAAATAAACACAACACTTATTATGAGAATTTTTATTGTTAGGTATGCAAAAAGTGGAATACGTTATTGGGGTCAGAATTAAGACAATCAATACTGTAATTAGTCTCCATGATATTCCTATTTCTCGTTCTGCCTGTGACGGTTTAAACTACAAAATTATCGCTTCTCTATCGCTTACTGAATTTTTTATGAAAAAAAAAGAAATGATTTCTTGGATATGAAACTGAAGTGCTAATTAAAAGAAAACAAGAAGTTCTTTATATTAATCTCCCTGCCCAGTGAACTGCTCAAATCTGGTTGTCATCGAGTGTCTACCAATTTCGGCTATATTGTCATCAGATATCTTTTGATCTTTTGCAATTTACAAGGGAAATTAAATGAAAATATGAATATCTGAAAAATCAAACAAGACAATTTGCCTTCAAATTTCAACTTTCAAACTTGAAAAATGCAAGATAACTGCATTCAAAATTTTGAAGGGAATGTTAATTATCTCTTATTAACCTGAAAAAATCTTTGTCCAAATGCAATACACTTTGGAATAGTTTGTACTAGGATGCTCGAGAACTTCATTCTGGATGTTAACCAATGGCATATTTTGCTACTAACTCCTGAAAACCTACTAAAACCTCTCGATTACTAATAATTTAGAAAAATTCAAGGTCGCATGTCCTCTTCCTCCTATTCATGCTGTGTTAATACTGATTGTTCTTCCAAAACTGTTTATCCTGCCGTCGAAAAATTTACAATTTTATTGCACTGTTGGTAAATTTGAGAAAATCTTATAAAATTTCAGAAAACATGAGAAAAAGCTTCAAACCAAATAATTCCTCGATAGTCTTTTGTGTACCACAAAGAACAATCAGTCACTTAAATGCCAAAATGGGAAATTAATATAAATTGATTAACAGTAATATCGAGAAATGAGTGAATGTATTGATTGAAAGATGAAATGCCAATGTATCACAGGATCATTTCTTACCTTTCCCGAATATATTCAATTTCGGTTTTCGAAAGAACTTTGCTCTACGGAAATCATACACTGATTACGACGGCTACTCGTCAACCAAGAGATCCGGTTCGGTTTTTATTTATCCAAAATTCATCAACAGAATTAGTTGGAGTGGATAAATTGCACTGTAGAAGCTTCGTAAACAGGAACCAATTTCCGGTTTCCGTGAGATTGATCCTTTTCCCTGAACTGGATGTCCTTCCCTTCATTCAACCTTTTTGGGAGAAAAGCTATTTTTTATTGTCTTGAACATCGAATCCAATGCCACTCGAAGATCGCATTCTTAAATTTTGTTCGAAGTAACAGTTAATTTTTGAAGTGCATTAAATCATTCCATGTAAATCGTCCTTATTTCATCTATCTTGGTAGAACAGGAAATGCTTTATATTGTGAAACAACTACCAAATCAGAAAAATAAACGGCATCCACCAATCCCAAATCTTATTCTCAATATTACCCTTAATGTCGACAGCTAAAACCGGAAAAGCTGTTAAGCTTCATGCTAATTTATTATTATGAATACTGAAACATCCTTTTACATATTGTGATGAAGATCAGTGAATAGATGTATGGACGTTTGATAATGAAATAAAACCCATTAATTACACGAACATTTTGATCTCAGCTGAGAGGAAAGAAGTTGGTAGTGCACTTTAGCTTCCAGTTTCAAATACGTACGCTGGGGAATTTTTGTTCATTCTAAAAACTCTTGAAAAGAGTAACCCAAATTAAGTGGATAATTTTGAAACTTCTGCAAACCCCAGATACACTTGCCATTATTTGAGAAAATCTTATGTAGAGTAATTAGAAAAGCCACCCAGTTACCACTCTTAGTCAAGTAACATTAAATCAGCTGTTTGGTGATGAAATAAAAATTTATAGAAATAGAATTTTATAGAAATAACAACTGGATTTTTGCAAAATTCAGGAAAGCCGAAAGCATAAATAAACCAAGTACGAACTGGAAATGGACAGTGAAAACAACATCAATTTTATTAGTTCAGCAATTAAAAATTGAAAACATTCGGAAAAAAAATAACAACGATAAAACGATAATGGAGCAACAATATTGAAATAGACATCACAAATAAGCTACTAAATATTGCGACCGAGAATACTTGAATACCTAGTAGTGCGGGTCTCTCAGTGGAGATCCATAAGCGACACTAAATAGGACTATGGACGGGACTCAAAATGTAAGGCGTTGAAGAGTTTCATTTTCAGCTTCTTATTAGAATTTCAACAGTGAAAATGTTTAGTTTTAGTTGGTTTGAATACAATTTCAAAAATATATCTCACTTAGTTTGGTAAGATCAAAGTACCGCTAATTCTCAGTAGTACGGTATTCAGATTGGATTTGGTAAAACAAAAAACATTATGTTTTATTAAAAAAGTGAAAAAATGAAACAAAAACTATACTTTTCTTTCGTGAATGCAAAAGCAACGCTTGAACAATTTCTAAACAAATTTTATTAAAAACGTCTCAAATAAATGCATGAAAGATTTTAGTCACATAAAAACATAATTCGGTATATTAATGTGCTGCAAGAAACAGAATGAACCTTAGAAGTTTCCAAATTCGCCATTACCACCAATATTTTCTTATCAAAGTTTGAACTTCTTATTAATAGCATCCAGAGGATCAACACGTTCTTGACCATGTATACCACTTATAGGCTCCTATACTTCTACATCAATCAAGGACCATAATGATGTTTCACCAAATATATTTGTGCTGCAATTTTAAGCACTAGATCGAGCATGTTTCACAGGCGCAATATTCCAACTTGATCCTAAGTTAACCGTACCATTTTCCAAACCGTAACATTCTGTAGCTTTGAATGATTTAAAATATACGCTTTTTATTCCTTACATTTCGACTTCATAATTAAACTCCCCCCCCCCCTCCCCCGGGAGCAACTTACGATATACAATCCGTTATAAAGTTAACAATAGCAACTACAACAAACTCGCAAGCTTGATTATCGATAACACTAGTGACAAACATAAAAAAAGTGAAAATTTACAACTATTATATCAACTTGAGTAAACTGACGTTCGGATACAGCTTATGTAGCAGCTTATTACGTATTCGAATAAGCTAATGACCGATCTAACAAGCAAAATCATTTAATGATTCAACAACAAATTAACAAAATCTTATACTATACAGCAAACTGTCTCTTCTGAAATTATTATTGCTCAGTTCAAGTATGTACATTATTATAATTCAGACTTAGTTATATCAAACATGTGCAGATTTATATAAATTATATCCCAAATCTATGGAATTGAATTTGCATAAAATGTCGTAAAACTTACTAGCATCGCTCGATGATGTGCCCCTGTCATAATTTTGCATATTGCTGTCGCTTAAAGCAGTTCGAAGTCTAAACGAATAATGACTCCCATTGATTCTATTTCGTCCACGGAAATTACCTCTAAAACCTCTTGTTATTTTTAGTGTTGCTATAATTACCAGAATTATGGAACCATCCCAGGTATCTTTCTCTAGACCACTTTTGAGAGGGAAAGTAATCAAGACTGCAAACATCTGTTCTCAATCTTATCCCCTCATAACTCTAATATCCTGTTCTGTGATTTCAAAAAGCAACACTTCTTCCTCACTTTTCTCTTGTCCTTCTTCTATTTCCTCTTGCACTCGGTTTCTATTTTTTTTTTTCCTTAGCATTGTTTCCTTAGCATCTATTTCCTTAGCATTGCTTCGAATCCTAAAACAAAATCAAGGCTATGCCTAAGTCACTGCACAATCAACTCACACAAGAAAGGCAAGAAATAAAAATCATATTATTTCACAAAATTAAAATCTTGCACATGATAAAAATCCTTCACCCAAGATATTAGATCGAGGATTTATATTTACCATGACAAGTAAGTTAGGGTAAGGACAAAGATCGGTTTAGAAAGTCTGAAAAATTAGAACCATATATTCAGGAAAAACAGATGAGCCGTGATTTCTGCTCCAGGGCCAAACAGGATTCACTGCAAAAAGTCCGCACCAACAAACTTATTCTGCATTAGTATTGACCACGATCGGACATGATTTCAACTTTTTTTAAAATTAAAAATGAGGTTGCAAATATTAATTGGACATTTACAAAGCTGATATTTAATTATAAGGACAGGGCTTGCAGGCAAGATTTAATCAGGTCAAAAATGAAACTTTTGTATACTGGTAAATCTATGTTTTATGTTAATGTAACTTCAAATTATTCCAGAAATTACCTTCTGATGTAGCTTGAGTGGAAAACTGTTTCAATACCATAACATCTTGCTGCTCCGTTCTCAAGACTTCTTCATTTCCCGACCAATCAAAAGGTGACAATATGATTTTAAGTGGCTTACAATTATCCTTGTGAACTTTATTCGTTGATTCTGGATTCAAAGCATTAGTGTTTCAGTACATGGTTGCAAAGCAGTTTGCACATTCATTTTCAGAGGGATTCTGAAGGAAGTGAAAAAAAAGAATGGATATACTGAGAAAACGGAAATAATAATAATAACTTTAATATTGCAAAAATATTTAAGTTAATTTTATGAAGATCAATAATTAATATAAAAAACGAAATAAGCACTAAAACTTGCATATTATCTAATCTGATATAATATTATTACCATGATACTCCCACCTTTCGGCTTCTAAAAAGAAGTAACTGAAGTGTGTTATGTTCGAAATTTGTTTACATGACATCACTTTGGTACGGAGTTCAAAAGGGTCATTTTTGTCATCAATGATTAGAAATCTATATTTCTTGCTTTTAAGAAAATTTATCTCAACTTTTTCGGGAAGGGACGAAATGCTTTTTTTCCGAAAAAAACAAACAAAGGCGATGGGAATTTAATAATATCCAAACTATGAAAAAAGTGTATTAACAGACCGTTTGCTCATCAAAGCTGTCGCCTGTTTCAGTGTATAAACACATCGCTTGTCGCGACAATAACAAATGTTTGGATATCAAACTAAAACTCATTGATTTTAAATTTATATTATTGCTTCTCCATGGGGAAAAAACGAAAGTAATACAATTAAGCTTAGCTTATCTTCCCAATTCGATGTTTAATCATATAAACACTCTTCTATTTTGCTTTTCTCACTTTTTTTTTTTTGCGAAAATCATGGATGATTTCATGATGATTTGATTTCATGACCATTTAGCACTCTCCATATTCCAATGCATTCTCCCTGAATGTACTTTTCTCAGTAAAACTGAAGTTTTAAAAAGTGAAGTTGGAGTTTTTCTAAAGTAACTGAAGTGGCATTATGATTGAAATCTGTTTACATGACTTTAGTAGAAAGTCGGGAAAAGTCATTTTCATTGTTTTGCGCAATAAAGTAATTTTCAAGTCAATTTTTACAAAAATTAGTCCTTAAGAAAAACTTTTGTTTTGAAATTTCTGTTTTCTGTCTCACAAAATCCGTATTAGCAAAAAACATTTTTTTGGCGGACATTATATAAAAATTAAGAAAAGTGATCGAGAACGATAATGCTTAAACTGTCTGCGTTTCCACAAAAGCTTAATAATTTGTCAACAAATATCATTGTCAACCCTTACAAATATTACAGTCTTTCCCTTTTTTTTTTCTCTCTCTCTCTCTCTCTCCTCTCTTTCCAGCAGAGAAAAATGTTTAAATGGTTCAACGACTAATGATATAAATTCAATCGAACTTAAAATTAAAGCTAAAATATGAGATTGAGATTTGAATCCAATCCTTTGCTGGATACAATTAAACCGGATGAGATGAATACATTGGTTAAGCAATAATTAACTTTAAAAAGAATACATTTGCAATCCAATTATTTCATATGTATAAAAATCTCATTATTTTTAAACAGTTACGATTATTTCTATGAAATATCCATCTTATTCTGGCAGCATTCTTTTTGAAAAATCATTTGTAACATCGAAAAGTTCAAGAAAAACCGTACGCAAACATTTTTCTCTATCTTTGGATTCTAATCAAATGCTTCATATCATCTATCATAGACACAATAAATGTAATACGATCTAAGAAGCGGCTATTAGAAAGCAAATACTACTAATAAGACAGTTTTCTAGCCATTCAATTTTGAAGCCGATGACTGTGTTGGATGTACGATATTGTAAATGATGACGCTGCAAATATTGTCGCTAATAATTCACCAACAGTGGAATTTTCAGAGACTTTAACTATAAAGTTGGAAAAAAAAGTGATATATGTTTAGTTTGAGTCCACTATGATGAGCAAAAGCAAGTATTAAAAATTATTTAATGGCTTATAAAATTCTCAAAGCCGACATGCTCCTATCGTTTCAATAAAAATAAACATGAATCCAATTTACAAATTGTTATTACAATATTCCTTTATTTTTCCTCAATTTTATTGACAATTAGAAATAAATAGTGTAGGTTATATGGCAGCAAATCTACATGCAGTAACAAGAATGAAAGTTTTATCAAGTACTGGTTCAACAGGAAGTCGAGCTAAAGTATAACCAAGTTTAGTTAATTCATTGTTTGAACCCAAAGCTAACATATTTGCAAAAAAATAATTTAAATAATGAACAAATAGAATTTTAAAAAAAGATGCAAATATAGGATAGGGAAGTGTTACAATTCTAAAATTTGGAGCGCCGAACTGCTTAAAGATTCATTTATTCATTAATAATGCATGTAACCAATAATCATGACAAATAATGGTCTACTTCCATAGAGAACACTTCGAACTGATTCATCCTGTAAGTTGGAACGATTCCATATTATGATATTAATTTAAACCTTTTTGTTCAAACAATCAACTAGGAAGGAATATTTCAGCTTCAATAATAGAATCGATCGATGGTGGATCGATTCCTTTGGTCAGAAAATCTAATACAATAAGTTTAATCATTAGTCCGATTTCATACAATGGAGTTTTCAGCATTTCCACTGTACGATGTTCTTCCACTCTTTACTTTAAAACCAATTAACATAATAGTCTACAAAAACTTTGCTTTGTTTTCTAAATTTATTTAACAATGTTTAATAAACTTCATGACAGTGTTTGAAAAGAAATGGAAGTATATTGACAAAGTATAATGTAAGTTAATGAAATGGATAGATGATCGCAATTTCAAATTTAAAAAGAAAAAAAAATGAAACAGCTAGCACGAACGTCAAAGACCTGTCGTTTATTGCAAAAAATAAAAATTGAAACAGATTTAGAGCAAAAGAAATGTGTACGTTATCAAACAAATCAAATAAACTTAGGCATAATTCGAAGTAATACTGACGAACAATTAAGGAATTCAAAAAAAAAAAAAATTAAGAAGTGATGAATGAAAAACGACAGCAGAGACTTTGTATTGACTTTTGGAGTATAAATTTGGAGTCCTCATTGATAAAATGATCTGGATAAATATAAAGACTTAGGACAGTCTGAACCATAGATAAATTCTGTTATGATGAAATAAAATCAAAAATTAATGGTGGACCTAAATCCGAAACTTTCAGAAGGCTTAGATACAATTTTTTTAAAAACCACCTTCTACTTTTCACAATCCACTGGTTCCCAAAAATGTTGTAAATTTTTACATACATAATAAATTTTTAGTTTTAAAGTTTCTAGTGTAAATTTCTAATTTCAATTTTTATTTTAAAAAAAAAGCAAATCTACTTTTCTGACATCGGATGTCTAATATTCAAAAACACTGCATTCTTCCTGACTGGTTAATTGCAAATGCAATGGAAGGATAGCAAATTGTAACTCGTTACTGAACAAGGAATATTATTTTCAGAAAAAAAAAAAGATCTCCATAGTATTACTTTCGTCGTAGCACAGATTCCATTTAAAACTTCCCTTTCATTTATTTCTTCACATTGAGCTTTCTAAGGAGTATTCCATTCTGTTAATCTATAATCGTCAGCGATGAAAATAAAAGAAACCCGAAATTGTGTACTTAATCTTTCCACCGTTCATTTCTTAATTTTTTTTTTCGAATTCAATCTTTCAAATCCGTTTAATAAATGTGTAAAAACAGACGCTTCACGAAAAAACCATGAAAACTGAACCGAAGTAATGGAATACAGCAAAACTACGCAATTATTTTGAATGAAGACTGATTCGAAATTAATTTTGAATAAGGTAGTCTAGTTAGGATAAAAATATTCAAAATCTCTTTCCCAGCCATAAGCAAGTAGGCAATAAGATTGCAAACAATTCCAAGAATCAAAAATGCTTCTAATTCAAACCAAACACAAGGAACTGTTAAACTAGCTCCTAAAATATAATATATTTTACCTGGAGTTATCAGTACCAATACCGCACATATCATATCTCAACAATGCTTACTTGATTTTTTACAGAGTTCATTTAAATGCATCTTGTTATTGTCAACCATTTATCTTCCACATATACTTAACCGCAAATCGACTGCTTCCAACTCAAAATAATTCTTTGATATCTTCTTTGTTTTAGCAGTACAAGATTAAACTGCAAAGCTAAAAACTAAGTTTATCAATTATCTGTTTCTCCAGTATCCATAATAAAGTACTCAGTCAACAATTGAAATTGGAATCTACAGAAAAGAAAAAATGCTGCTTCAAGACATAATATTATCACAAATATCATTTAGTACGATATTTTTAATTCATCATGCATAAAGCACTTGAAACTGGAATAAAAACAAATTACGGGCCTTCAAATGCAAATGACAAATTGAGAGTTTGGTACTGGTGATTTTGGTCATATAAAAAAGTCATTGTGTTGACAGAAAAAAAAAAAATGATAAATGTGAAATCGAAGAAAACTAACTAGCACAATTTCTTCTGCTTTTTGCTTAATATGACAATGTTGTTCCGTTTTTAGCTCTGATAATAGAACAAATAACTGTATGTCTACTGGATTGCCAGTTACCAATTGTTCAGCTATTTTCTTCTACTTTACTGTCAACCTACCACTGCACTCTCTCAGCTAAATCCAGAATTGTTGTCTCTAACATGAATGCTTGAAATGACACAATTATACAAAGACAGAATGATGGGAAGAATGTTACTATTGAAACAAATTTATATCAAATATTTCATCAGTGGCGTTTACTATCAATTTATAAAGGATTGTGTGTTTTAAATGTTAAAATGTAACTTTCAGTGCATATGAAAAATACGAAAGTAAGAATCATAGGAGTTCAACAGATATTAAATAAATACTGTAATGCATAAATAGTATATCAAATTCAATGGGATCTTTAATTACTGCATTGATATACATGTATCGTTTATGATATAACGTCTAATTCAATTACAAATAAAATGTGAAATAAAAAATACGGTAATTTTCGAAAGCTTTGTCAGATTCAGTAATTTGCATTGAACAAGAAAGTGCGCAAAGTCTCGAGCATTATTAGTAGTTGCATCGTTTTTATTCGCCAAAATCCCTAATCTCATATGGTTTGCATTAATGAATTTTCCTAAATATTGAATGAACACCTTATATGTATATAATAGATTTCTAATTAACACTTATTCTACTTCATACCTTATTTATTAATGTAAATTGGATGTTAATGCGAAGACTGTATAAAATAAATATTTAAAATCTGGTATATATATTAACATCTGAATCGTGTTCCTCCACCATAACTTGCCAATGACATAGTGTTGTAGTAGGATGGTATAACAAGTTTTCTTTTTCAGCATAGCTTTAACTCCCTAATATCATAACACCTTGATTTCCTAGACAAATAGATGGTAGTATTTTAGGATAGGCATCTCCTCCTAATTTCTACAGAATAAACGTTTTACCTTGTGCATTAATAGAGTGGATATTACTCAGGTGCACAACTACACGAATAGTATCTATCTTACGTTAACTCCAATCCATTGCAAAAGAATATTTATTCAGTTACCACCAACAGGGTCAATTTATCCTGGAAAAGAGTATGGATGGAGAACACTGATATGAGGTCATTCTTTCCTAGCTTGCCCGGATACCAAACTATCTTTCGCCCTGTTGAGAGTACAGAAAGAAATGATATATTTGTCCTTGTCTATCTCTAATTGGAACTCTCTCTGGTACTCAGAAAGATATATTTCTTGATCTATGAACATATGTTTTTAACTCCGTATAGTTGAGTTAAATTTTCCCATTGCCTTTGAAATCCCACTCTTTAATCACTCAGAATGTTCAGTACGTATGTCTATGGGAAATTTCGGAGAGTTAAAAGACCAGGAATACCACTGGATGCGACACCATAAGGGTCATTCGTCTGTTTTTAGTTCATGATGGAAGTGCAGATTTGAATCCCATTCCATTTTCTATATCGCAATGTCCAGAATGGAAGTTGACATTATCTGGGAGAGCACTAATCATACTGTCTTCTCACCATATGATATATCTATATGATACATAAACTTTTATTTGCGAACGGCTAGTACCTACAGTACTACCAAACCACTACGGAACTTTACCGGATGATACCATTTATCTAAAATTCATACATCCTTTTATTTCTTCTTTCCCTTCTGTCCTTCTTTAATACTAATGATTATGGTTAATCCATGTGATATGAAATAAAAGCGAAAAGGGATAATAAGGAATTGTTGGGTATATTGGAGAAGGTGATACCTTGTGATTTACAACCGTTCACAATTTATCAAGTAGCATGTTATCATGATTAGCACTTCATGTGAAAGTTGTAATAATGATAATAATGATACTACAGAAACAACAGAGAATATAGAAAAAAATAGAATTCGATATAAAAGACAACAAAATATAATGGATTATTAGAACAAAATATATATGTATATGCGACAGGTGCTATTAAATAATTAACTTAAAGATAGCTAATAATTAGCTTAAAAATTGTAAGCAAAAGAAACACTGGCCATTAACACTTTTTTAAAAATAATGCCGAAAAGAACTTAAAGCGGCCGACAATTAATACTAATCAATATTTATGTTATAACAATCAATACTTACTTCATACCAGCTACAATTTTTAATTTTCAATTATACTTGAAAGAATTTCACTTTATAGTTGTTATTTCGGCTGATAACTTTCAACGAGTTGAACTGAGTAGTTATAGTAGCCATTCCCAAAACGAAAGGCGGGAGTGCCGAATTCTTAAGCTTCAAATATAACCTTGCTCAGATTTTAAGATTCTACCATCAAATTTAAAAATTTTTTAACTGAAATCTTCGTCTGCATACATTTTGAAAGAAGGATAAGCCGAAGTAAAACAAATGAAGTTCTATCAATTGTCCAGTTCATAAAAAAATTTTTAACATTAAGCAGACAAACAAGATAGCAAATATTATTACAGCAAAATAAAACAAATCGAAACGGAAGGTGGGTAACTAAAGATTAACCATTTGCGTGATTCCGGAGATATTGTGGTGTTATTTGTGATCCATAAAATCAGCTTTTTTTCTCAATCATCTGAGATTCGGCTTCTTTTCTCAGTTCCTCCATTTCATATTTTTCAAATGCATTCTTAAGATGCTCTTCTACTTCTATGATGCATGGCATTGATTCACATTCCAAACAGTATATCCAATTACACCGGTCACATTTCCACTGCAATAGATCAATCTAATCACATTATTCGATTGACTGAATCGCCGATGCAAATTATAATATTCTTTTCATTATAATATTCTGTAGATAATGGTTAAAGTACGGTAATTATGAATTAAGAACTAATTACAAACTTAAAGTAAATGGAATATTTGCAAGTGTTGCTTTATCTTTTCGTCGGACGATAATTTTTTTTTTCTCTTAACATTTGCTCCTACTAAGGAACAAAGTTAATTGGAAAGCCATGATTCAAATAATCTTCACTGAAATTATCGAAAAATTATATGTTTTGAAACTTTGATTTCGAAAATCAATAAGTAATGACCAAACGGCGGCAAGTTCCAGCATCGGAATCAACGGTTTTCTGCTGTCCACAACTGCGACATACACCTTCGAATATATCCTTACCGTTGTGTTTTAAACTATGTTTTCTGGAAAATTCTCATTGTTCATTTTACCAATATCTTGGAGGTTCTAGTCATTCGTGATCAAAGTGCATCTTTGTTTTGTATTTTACACCAATGTCATTTTGACTAAAAGATGCTTGACTTAATTAGATTGAAAGATTTTACCAAATACATCGTGAAATGAAAGCAACGAACATAATGATATTGCAAATGTCCTTTGTCATTTCATTGTTCACTGAACCGTTGAGAAATTGTGACCGAATCATTAATTCTTTGGTAAGATTTTCTCGAAGTTTTGAGCTAAAAAATATCAAAATGAAGTTCCATAAGAATCATTCAAAGTACCTTTAGCTCTGGAATTGCTTGCTTTGATAAACAAATACAAAACAAAATATCAGTTACTGAAAAGAATTGTCCTTATCTGATCCAAGAAATCAGCTGTATCCATGCTGATACTTTGTCAATTTCACAAAGTATTGATTGATTAGACTTCACATATATCATGAAGGATCTACTAGATATCAATGAGAAAATCACATAATTTTTCACAAAGCTATTTCAACACATGAATGGAAGAAGTTTGTAAGTATTTCTTGTTTCATTTCTTCTGCAAGTTAAATCAGAAGATATGCTTACTCGTAATTATACATAATTGCTGTTTGGAGCAATTTAACCAAGACATTGTTTCCATATTTGCGAAAATTTGCTCTCAGTGCAAAGTACTCGCAACTAAGCTGCAAATTTTTCAAATTGTATTTATCAGCCAAACGGGCAAGTGCTGGAATTGATTGCACTGAAAATGAATTCTTTGAGTAATACTGAAAATTAATACTGCTAACATAACAACACACAATCCGCTAAGCAGTAGTTTTCATCGTATCATTCATCCTCACACGTTTACATGCTTCTATACCGCACCACTCCATATTCTCAGGGGCAGTGAAAGCTGATCAGCTTTCGCACGAAGAAATCCTGCAGTCATTCCGAAATGAGTGGTGTTGGAGTCAGGCTAATGAAACCAATAGCAAAATTTGGGAGTCCAGCTTCGTGGCATGGTATTAAAATTTTTTCCGGAAAAAAAGGTCAACAGTAAGATAGAATACGAAAGCTCGTTACACATTAAACATGACTTTTTGTTTAATTCGTATTATTTGAACTGTATGAAGAACATATTCGCCTAGAACAATTTCTTAAATAAACTTAACAACTGATACCCCGAATGATTCGTGGATATATGTCGTAAATTGTAGGGCAGGTAGATTGCAGCATGCATGCAATATCATCATTCTTATCGTGTAAACGACTGCAGCCGCGAAGCCCTTCTACGAAATGATTACTGGTTGTAAGAAGCCCGAAATAGAGTGATTTCTGAAATGTGCGAAAATCTGGTATTCTCTTCATTAGTATTTTATGTTTTGTTCAAGGATTTCTATTAGGTTTGGAAATAACTTTCAATTTTTTTGAATCAGGAAAGTTGTTACGTACATGCGCCAAACCTGACTTCGAATCAGTATAAAAAGGGAACTTTCATTTGTTGTTTATAGCAATTTCCTTAATACTCATTTACCTTAGACATTTCAATAGGGTCAATATAAAATGTAACATCGCCAACTTCTAAGCCGAAATGTCTCCTTTTGCTCTGTCGAGTGTAATCAGTCTGCAACCACAAATAATTTTCACTAATAAAGATTTCTCTTCTCTTAAACTATGGATTCAGAATCTGCTTCGACTTCGAGATTTCGGTTTGAAAGTAGAATTTGAATAAAAATTTTCAATTTACCAATAAAATGCTTGGAACAAGATTTTTTATATGGGCTAGATTTTTGCTACAAACTAAGCGGATGATTGAACATCATAAAAGCTTTAAATTTTTATGTATGAAACAGTAAAACAGTTTACTTCTAAATTTGTATCCCAGTAGTCTCCGTCCAGTTGATCACTGTCATCCACTTGCATCGTTCCATCATTCATCTTACATCAGTGCTACCTAGTAGTGTATTATTCTGTTGGTAAGTGCACTGTTAATTAGCGATGGTAGTAGTTGGCAAACTACAAAAAAAAAAATGTCGTTATTCCTCGAAATGTTCTCGAAACATTGTTATTTTACAAAGCATATTTTATTTATCAATATTATACAGATTTTACTATCGCATTAAATGTGTATAAAATACAATTCAGATTTAGAACATAACATCATGCCGTTGTACAAGGATGTAGGGTGCATATGTGGCACAAGTACTATTGATTCGTCCCGCAGTAGGATCTCAAACGGTATAACCTTTTTCGACAAGTATGCAGCGATAGAGATTGGCAAGGATGCAAAGTAGAAAAACATCTGAGATCTGTTCGAAACTTGCAAGATTTATTAAACGAATACGACAACCAGAAAGAAGTGAAACTCAAAGTAACAGGTATAGAAATGGCAACAACGATAAGGAGGGTAGAAGATTTGAATTAAAGCATTGATGAAAGTAGAACTTCCAACTCCTACTCAAATGCAAAATACGGAAAAATATGCTTACTTGAGTAAAATAGTATTGATAACGAAGATTTAAGATGCGTCCTGCTGCTAGCATCGGAAAAAAAATGAACTGTGGTGCAGTAAAGATAAGGAAGATATCGATATCGGAAAAGGGAAACTGAATATGAAATGTCCCTTTGTGTGATTGGTATACACGAATTTCTCGAGTAGAAATCGCGGACGATTATTAGTGGGTGAATGAGTGTCATTATTACACCAGGTGAATATTCGAGAAAAGACTCTTTGACAAAGAAATTCAAGAATGGTCCGAAAATGATATCAAGTGAGTCGAAAGTAGTTGCAATTTGTGGCAAATTGCTTGGTGCAGGTAATAGATTAAATTTCTCAGAAAAAATTTTGCTAAATTTTGTTATGTGTCAGGTGGGAAAATTCCGGAGATGCAACATTTTCTGACAAATAAATGATGTTGAATGATCGGAAGGTGAAAGAAAGAATTTGTTAAAAACAAAATAAGATATGCTGTCACCTAGCTGTAGTTAACAAATATTCTAGATAAAGCTGTCCTACCTAAATACCTCTATGTAATTTGATTTCCGTTCCACATCCTCCTTGATCAATCCGGCATAAAGCAGAGGTCATCAAAATGGTCCTATTGTCAATCTTATCATAAAGAAAAAGATCAATCACATTTTTTAAGTTTTTTCTTCATCCTCTTAGTACTAACTTAATCACTAATGCCATATACTAATAACATAATTGTCCCAATTATAGATTCACTCTTACTGATTGTTGAAGGTTGTATCAACAGAGCCGATAATCATAACTTGTTGTCATTTATTATGAAATAATGCAGTGACTAATGGTATGAGGATTTAAGAAGCAAAATAAAAAGTATTCCGAGCGCATAAGTTACAATCAATTTGCAATCTGTAGTAAGAGGACAGAAGAAAGATGAAACTTATAGTAGCGCACAAATATACAACTTTCTTGCGATATTTTTTGACTGATCTTAATGACTAAAATTGATTTGATCTTGGACAGCATATTCTCAAGCTTGTTGACAGTGCCAAAGGCTGAATGAACGGAGCGCATTTGAGCAGCGCGCACTTCTAGAAGCTTCAAATAATCAGGTCTAGATATTATCACGCCAATAAGAAGTGAAAATTAAATGAAATTTTGAAAAAAACAATGAATTCATAAGGCGCTGAAATTATTATGCATAAATAACGAGAGGAATAAATTTTATGCGTATTTCTATAGATTTTATAAGTTTCAGAAAACAAGTATCGAAAAACTGCGAAATGCAGTGATACTTCTTTACATGAGATTATAAATAATTCTTCTAGCAAAATGTTTGTGACAACCGCCAACTAGAATGCTGTCGTATCATAGCATTTTGAGGTATCGTCGAAAAAGCGTTACTTCTAAGCATACATTGTACTGTTTGATGGAATAAGTTGGCAAAAAAAATATGTCAAGTTTTAAAAGATGGAAAGGCCACATGTTGCGTCGTTACACTAAGCTAAGTTTTTGATGAAATTTCAGGAATATCTGAAGTGATAACAATATTTAGTTCTCTCTCATTTTCTTTTTAAGACTTCCCTCTGTTTAGGA